TACTTGAAAATTTTGATAATAGAAGTAGACATTTCTCTTATATACAACAGATTTTCCCCGATAAGTTGCGGCATCAAGTCCACACGTTCACTTACGCGCCTTCCGAAATGCCGTACAAATGCAGGATTAGCAGCTGAAATACTTTATATTATATTATATTATATTATATTATATTATATTATTATTGTAAAATGAACATTATGCCTCTAATTTCCATTGTAGCCGGGTATCTCTAGATCCGATGTCTAAGTTGCAATAAACTAATCTACATCTAGAATTGGTGGTACATGTATAATTAAGCTACAACGTACTACATGTATAACTGGTGATACACATATAAACTACAACTAACATGTATAAAAGTGATAGATAGTGGGATAGCATTTGAAACTGTACAGGAACCAGGAAAACCCTCACCTACACCCCATATTTCCGACACTCCATATCAGCCTCAGCTTCAGTCCTCCGCCTTCCCCTACCCACCCCCCACCCCCACCCTCTTAAAAAAATGAGGATGGAAAGTTATATCGATGTACTTCAAGATCCCCAAAAGCACATTTCATGTACTCAGTGTTGTCAACTCGTACAGAAATTGCAGCACTTTTCTAATTTTCCTATCTATAGAGCACAACCCAAGCCACGCCCCTCTTGCTACTCTAGATGTAGCCTGCTAGCGTCGGAGTATGTCTTAAGTAGGACACGAGTAAAACGCTGTGCATTTACTTGATATTTCATGATGAACCGGAGATAAACAGCAACTGGAGACAGCTGTTGGTTTTCACTTCACATCTAATATAAGAAAGATAACACACATGGACGTTTACAAGGGCGGAAGAGGCCCGTGCCTTGCGACATTTCAGTCCCACTTCACAAAATTCAAACATAAACACGCACAATGATACATGTATATATATTTTTCTTCAATTTTGCCTAATTTAAGATTTCGCTGGAGCGATCTCTCCGTGCCGTCTACTTATATAACAATATTTTTCATTCAACAAACTTGCATTGTTGATTCCATTTATTATTTTTCCATTCAGTTTACAAACATTATCTTAGCTGCCTATAAGACAAACGGGGGAGACAGTTCTTTCAGAAACCTCAGCGTTCATACTGGCGTAAAACCAGAACTCAACACGTGCTAGTAAAAGTGTAGAAACGCAGAATCTGGCGTTACTAAAAGACCAGGTGATTGCATGAAAACTATTTCTGCTTCACGACCTGTTCCGGGATGTGATGGCAGGCATTAGTAATGATCAGTGGAAATGGATATATGGTACATTTCTCTAATTTGTAATGTACATCCTGAAAATAGGTCTCTCAGGAGAGAGAGAACGAGAGAGAGAGAGAGAGAAATAGAGGAGAGAGAGAACGAGAGAGAGAGAGAGAGAGAAAACGAGAGAGAGAGAGAGAAGAGAGAGAGAGAGAGAGAGAGAGAGAGAGAGAGAAAAGAGGAGAGAGAGAGAGAACGAGAGAGCGAGGGAGGGAGGGAGAGAGAGAGAGAGAAAGAGACGAGGTTAACATTTATCTGATAATTATTATAATAAATATAACTATAATATAATAAATAATAAATAACAGAATAAAGGAAGTTCACTTTTACTAATTGTAAACGATGAACGAAGACAGATAATCTGACTTAAATCATAACAATATTTTTTTTAGATTATGAAAGGAGAGGCGGCGGGGGCGGATGAGGGCTGTTTATTTATCTCCGAATAAATCAAAGTCGCCAGCACAGCTCGTGCAGGCTGCTATAAATGAACACATGTAACGCTCTATTTTCACTTAATTCCACTTTCCCAGATTTCTTTGTTTAGTTAAGGAGCAATAAGTCATTCTAATTGCAAGTTAGCGTCATTTCTAGCATTAGTATACATAACTTTTCCACCGCAGAACTGCGCTCGTTCATTTACTGGCAATTAAAACTATTAAACAACATGGCCAATCCCATACTAGCTCATATTTCAACTGTGTCACATCGTAACCACTCATATAAAATACAGAGGGAGAGAAAGCTGATTTTTATCAATATGAAACCAAAATAAAGACATTTTATGTTTATAACATCTTTCTTTTGAAGAAAACATGCAGGAGACAGCCCCCAGTTTTCTATGCACAGNTAAATAACAGAACAAAGGAAGTTCACTTTTACTAATTGTAAACGATAAACGACGACAGATAATCTGACTTAAATCAAAACAATATAGATTATGAAAGGAGAGGCGGCGGGGGCAGAGGAGGGCTGTTTATTTATCTCCGAATAAATCAAAGTCTTCAGCACAGCTCGTGCAGGCTGCTATAAATGAACACATGTAACGCTCTATTTTCACTTAATTCCACTTTCCCAGATTTCTTTGTTTAGTTAAGGAGCAATAAGTCATTCTAATTGCAAGTTAGCGTCATTTCTAGCATTAGTATACATAACTTTTCCACCGCAGAACTACGCTCGTTCATTTACTGGCAATTAAAACTATTAAACAACATGGCCAATCCCATACTAGCTCATATTTCAACTGTGTCACATCGTAACCACTCATATAAAATACAGAGGGAGAGAAAGCTGATTTTTATCAATATGAAACCAAAATAAAGACATTTTATGTTTATAACATCTTTCTTTTGAAGAAAACATGCAGGAGACAGCCCCCAGTTTTCTATGCACAGGAATTTTAAGTGTTTTTGAACGCTGACACGTAGATTCGTGAGAATGAAAACTGAGGAGCTTTTTTCTTTTGCATTTTATCTCATCGATAAATCCGTAAAAATCAAGGTCCTGAGGAAGAATCGCTGTTACCATCACACCATGGCGCTCAACCTTATCAAAATGCAGGCAAAAATATTTCTACATAAACAACGTGGTACATAATCAGTTTAGTAATATCATTTTCACAGCTCCAAAATATGATGTCTTTGTTAAGATATTTTCTTTTCGTTATTTCTATTCATCGTGGATCGCACAGAACGCGCGCTTTTTACAAATATTTCCCAACTTGCTTACTTGGAATTAAAGAAAGCTTAGATATTATTTCTGACAGCCAAAACGCTCCATGCCACGTGAAAATGTTGAAGTTCACAAGTATACGTACTATGATACACTAAACCTGACCCCTGCGATAAGGTCCACCGACATCTCAAATAAAGAAACAAAAATAAATTGAATACTTCTCTGTGATCAACCCCGACAAAACCAGAAACTGGGGCATTGCAATTTTTGATTATAACAATTCTTTGAGCCAAGTGAATTTTGACCTTTTTTTACAAAGATGTTATTGGTTTCGTAATAGTGCTACACTTAAGTCTGACACAAAACACCGCAATTGGGAACTGCGGCAGCTTCATATTAATTCAATTCAGTAAATTGAGTAAATTTCAAAAATTTTACCCCCGTCTGCCGTTCATGCGCCCCCCCCCCCCCCCCCGAAGATCCTCAAACCACAGCTTCTTGTAACTTACACAGATACACAGGTACGTGTAACTTAACCCTCGAGCACACTTTCAATTCATCGATTACACTCATTTCTTCCCATGTGTATCATGGTCAACGATATCATAAAATTGATCTACGTATACATCTGATATCTGATGTTGACAACCCTATAGACAGTCGTACGCGAAGTACATTTCCTCGTTAAATTTGACGTTTGATCCGTGATGGAAAATTAGCTTTATCATATCTTATCATTGTCAATACATAACCCACCAGTTGCTCATTTTCTTCACTACCACGCCGCGTATTCTTACGTTGGACGTTTTAAGTGATTTTTGTCATTCGGCGTTTCATGGGTCGTGGTTGCCATTCACCCCTAACCTGTCATTATTTCCAAGACGCTAACCTGCCAATTTTCAGACACTTAACACAGCTTGTCTGTGGACTACACTTGTACATGTATAAATACGGATAGATGACTATGTGCTATACACTGGTATTAGTTTTACCCGCTGATGGGAGCGGTACAATGTTATCACGTCTTGAGCCCATATGACCAGTAATTAAAGAAAATATGTAAATGTAAAATTTAGAGGAAAACATGAATAAATAAATAAATAAATAAATGTCCAATTATATGTCATTCCTAACAGCCATCATGCGCGGATAAAACGTACAATTGTATATCTGATGACAGGCCTCGCAAATTAACTGGATGGATGCTTATTTATATAGGTTAGATGAGAGAGAGAGAGAGAGAGAGAGAGAGAGATGATATTTTACTGTCATAAGCGCCTCTCTCCAACTATTTCATTCAAAGATGAGTTCTCAAAAGTTACATGTACATGTATCACCGATTTCACTCAACCAAACAACCAGTCTTCAGCGCCCGTATTTACATTTTAAAGCACGCTTTCAAGTCCCATACTGAATACATAAAAGCGTAAATAAAACTCTAAGTCTGTTATAACCCGTTCTACAATTTTGTACAAAATTCTGTCATTAAATTCAAGGTCGTGATATTTGGCATCTTTTTCTCTATAAATTAGGGATGCTTATGTTATTTGAACGCAGTAGAGAATAACAATGGACAAAGGACATATATTCAGGTCGTATACAATGTATGTTTATACTACGAATATATATACACACACATATATGCTGTGGTATGCGGGCTGCCTCATTGACAACGAGTACATACGCTGTCCTGTGATGGAGAACTAACTACGTACACTGCATATTACACGTGAATTAATAGTCTGGGTCTCTATCTCTCTATATATAGACACCGCATAGACACGTACCCGTGCTTGGTTAACATAAGACTTCCTCTTTTTCAATATTTAAACCAAGACCCAGAAACATTACATATAGTTTTAAACAGTACTTCAGCAAACTCCAAGATGCCACTAGTATGTAAAATAATGGGACAATTTAATAACATATAATCATGAAGGACGATAAATACCGCGGGAGCACTGACTATGCCACTAAACGTTCACCACCCCAGCAGCCCTCTCCTATTTCACCAGTTACACTAATATGGCGGCTGTCACCCTGTTCGACTCACCTATTAGTAATGTGACACGTCGTGGCTCTGGTCCAACCCCTGAGGCACCCGATGTTAAGGAGCCCGATGGCGTTCGATCCTTGTGTTCTAAAATCGAACGTATCACCTTGATGCGCCTCGACGTTTGTCAAAGTTTTTGTCGTGATATTGTTAGATAAACTGTTCGACAGCTGTGTCTCCTGCGTTCGTGTCACTCCATCTCCAGTTGACTTTTAACTTCACAAGTAAGTGGGTGAGACTTGAAACACCTGGTGTCGCCAGAGAAGTTCTCGTTCTCAACACGCAGCTGATATTCTGTTGTTAAGTCGATGTTAAGACGGTGGACCTCGCGGGCCTACTTGCTGTGTTCACTGTGTTAAGCTCGTACTTGGGGAGAAGCAACAGGTCGCGTGACGTCACGGAGGATTAGAATAACAATAATTAATTGTCATCATAGAGGGTATGGGACGAAGTAGGTTTTAACGCGTGCCATGGGGTGAAAGCACGGTCGTAGCTCAGTGAAAACTGTGCTCTAATTTCGGTTTCCGGTTTTTATAATTTTTCTGTTTTTTATTATTTTTTTGTGGTTTCATTCAACCATCAGGCAAAATGTTTTAGCATTAGGCCTACAAGTGAACAGATGCCGTTGTTTAGAGAAAACGTCCATTAACGTCCGTTTTCCGATATACGATATTCCTGTTTAGACAATCTACATGGATAAAAAATTAATGCTTTGGTGTAAAAATAGAACATTATCTAATGAAAAGGTGTGTTCTTTCTAAGGCTCCAAATAGGTCAAGCTGAAATAAAGAGAAATTACTAATTCCTGGTACTTGTTTATGTGAGCTTAAGTAATTTTATACCTTATAATCCTGGCGAAGTACAGCTAACCGACCATCTCTCTCTCTCAGGCCAGTCCCAAACACCGAAATTCTTAGTAAGTTCAGACATTATTGATACAATCATTCACGAACGCAATCGATCCTAATTTTGCGGATTTTTGTTTGTTTGTTTGTTTTTATTTTTATTTATTTGTTTTTTTTTTTTTTTTTTTCGAATCTATATTTTCAAATGAAAAAAAAATGATTTCGGTATTAGTTCGATAAGTGACAGAAATTTACAATGGAACCCAGAAAAAAAACTAGAAAGGCATGACAAGCTATATATATGGTTGTAATAGGAGTGCTGGTATTTTGAACTTAACATCATAAGGAAATTAACTGATTATTCTCAGGACGACTCCTCCTAGCAACCAGTACCATCTACAATCTAGCTGATCAAATTCAACCAAGTCTTCTTTTCAAAGAATGCAACACGATACAGCAAAGATTATTTTAGGAGAGCGCTATTGTTTACTGTCTCAAAAGATGAACAGATAACCAACTTTTAAAATAGATTTACGAGAACAGTGCATGAGACGGAGACGCAGTGCATGAGGTCGGGGAATCGCACGATCAAATGTTTAAATGTACATATACTGGCATACTTAGAGGGTCCCATTGGGTGATTTCGAAAAGCCACTTTTTATTTCCCGAGATGAGTGAAACGTTCATCATATTTAGCGTTGTATGCGAAACATCCCATTCCCGTTTCACGTGAAAGCGGCTCTTCATTCATTCCCCTGTGTGACACGGAGTCCTTATACCCGGTGATGAGTGATTTTCAAGATCTTCAACTCGCATAATTAGTGAGATATGAACGAAGTTTTATCCACCATGATACGGTGACTTTATGAATTGGTGACTTTATTTCCCGTGAACTGTGATCGCTACCCCCTCTGCGCATGGGGCCCTCAAATTATAATTTTCAGGGGTAATAGGATGTATATGTCTCTGCCTACATTCCTCACTACATTTGTTGTTGTGTAGAACAAGGTAAACACCGTTAAAGTCTTGTTATAGGGGACCTGTAGCAAATAGCACATTAATCTGACAACAGCACCAGCCAGATTTATGTATGTAATTACCACACTCGACCAAACTTAGGCTGATGAAACAAGATTAAATATACTTACCCCGTGTGGTTTTTCATTTCTCTGTCGAAGATGAAACTCCAAGACAACTGATTATGATTATGATGAAAATCCTAATTATGACGTCAAAGAGCTTAGGTCAGGTGCAGAATAATAACGTTGTGTCATTGCTGAGCCGGATTGTGACGTAAGACGTCATGACGAAAACTTGGGCGTAACAAGTTTTTAAATGTCCGGTTTACACATCGATTTTGAACACGTCTTTGCACGCCTGGCTCACGTAGATCACTCAGTTGCCCGCACTAACACAGTGCCAGAAAAATTTTGCCATATATATATACAAAAGATAAAGGAAACGAGGGATGATTGAAGTGCGATTCCCCTTTCATCGTTCACGGAAATAAGTAATAAAGAGGTCAATAGTAATTTAATAATTATTATTATTATCGTGGTTATTTTATTTATATTTATTTATTTAGGAACTTAACGTTGGATTGTGCATGCACTAAAATGGAACTTTTATGTAGATATCCAGTGACTTCTGAGGCGAGAAACACAGCCTCTATATTTAGAATCCTGATAAAGTGTACTAGTTGTCAGGCTTTGGATTACATAAAGGAAAGAATTAAGTTTTGTTTCTTGAGGTAGGCCGCAGGCAGGCGTGCCGCCTTGTCAGTGGTTTTAGATGACGCCTGTATCTGCAGTGGTTTCATTTCCTACACGTTTCGTTCTGAGCTCAACATAAAATATAACAAAACCGCGAGTCAAGGACACTCGTCTGAACATCACTGGTCTAAGACTGCGGACAGTGAAAGTATTTTCTTCTGGAAGTGCCAGATTCACACTGAAACGTAGTAAACGTTTAAAAAGCATAGTAGCATAGAGAGCATATAAATTAACTAAAGTCGCGTTAAGTGCTAAGTAATCTTATAAATTTGGGCAAAACTAGAAGTGGACGCACGCCGTGTCCACTGACACTAGCGAAAGAGTGAATATAATAAGATATATTTTATCTTGAATTCTAAAAAGCATAGATTATCCCTTTCGTAAATGCTGCATAAGTTTTCAACTACCCCAACAGCCTCGTTTCTACAGGGAAGAAAAATCTCGCCTCTTCTCCCTGCACAATTGCTACAGGTTGGGCCGACAGAGGGCGCGACAAGCAACCACATTTTGTGTCAGATTTTCCCGTAATTGAAACAATTTTAAATACAGCGGTTTTTATTGAAGGCGACAAGTTCGTAATTCCACAATTCTCTTATTGTTAACTAAAATGCAACAACTAGACAACAAAAAAATTAAAAATTTTCTTGTTGATATTTATTATCTTTTACAAAGCACACAATCATGTACCACACGACGTACATGTTAAAAAACAAGTTCGTAAAAAAAGATTAATTGGCAAAAAAAAAATCACAATATAAATTCCACACGATTGATCCCGCACTGTTCATGCATGTGACTCCAACAACTTCGATGCCAAACATCCACAGTTTATAAAATCTTGATAGCAAATTAATAAGTGATTTCCACCTGCAGCAAGATAACTTGATCTACCTTCCATTCTTATACCTGTGATCCACCTGAGGACGCCCATGGAGTTAAATAGCGTTCCTTTTCAGTATTCTACAATCTCTATCGAGACTCCTCAACTTTTACACAGGAAGTCTTTCTCTCCTCTGTTGTCTTCCCCCAATAAGCAAAGTGTCATTCACTGACAGATACACTGCTTAATGCCGCCACAGTTGTTCAATCTCGGTACTGACTTTGAAACAATATTATTATTGATGCAGAACCTTGTTCATGAGATAGCAATCTTGATAGTTTGTACTGTAGTTTCTGCTACCCGTGCTCTCACTAGTACACGTGACCAAGGTCCATCAACTTCAGAGTATTCCTGGGATTACTGAACTAGAACATCTGGAAATGAAACGTGTCAAATGAAGTTAAGGTGTTTAATAAACCCCATGTAAAACTGAGGTCAACAGTGACTGGAAGATATGAATGAAATCTCTATTAAAACATACTGTGAAACATACTCAACCATGCTACTCTGCAGTATATATGCATAAAATTTAACTGAAGAAACATTAATATGGGATTTTGTCATCTTTCATCCTTTTTTCTTTGATATATGGATGGTGGTTATATCTATAAGACTGAAATGCTTTACTTCCGAATAATGAAAACTAATACCCTTGAAAAAGGACTACTTCTAAACAAATTGAAGACGTTAAAATATATGTCAACCTTCAGACCCAGGAAAAAAAGATCTCAAATCACAAATATCAAGTGTATTTCCAAGTATGTAACTTGAACTAGTAAAGGCAAAAAAGTATTACTGAACTCTCCAAGATAATTTTTATTCCTTTTTTTCACAGGTAAATCTCTCCAAGGGTCTTTTTAAGAAAGCGTCACAGACTTACATTTTCAGAACTGGATCTAATATCGTCTATCTTGAGTATCATCTTGGTAAGCTGGACTGCCAACATGATCTGTGCACGCTTGGAGCTCAGGGTCTCAATGACGTGCTGCTCTCGCATGTCTAAATAGGACAAACACCATTATTATTATTATTATTATTATTATTATTATTATTACAACTGCTACATACACTGAGCATCTTATGTGCACATACTACCTGTTAGTACATGCAGCCTCCATTACTAAGTGTCTATATTTAAGACAGGGAATAATATCAGTCAAAGAAGGTGAAAAAGCAACCTATATATGTAATTAATTGGGAGGGGGGAATTTACTCCCCTTCAATACTCGCTTTTCATTGTTCAGACCAAGAGAGGGGCTTCCATATAGGGCACAGTCTTATGTAATAGTCACACTATGAACTGACAATATCTCCCAACAGTTTCAATACAGGTAAGTATAACACACAAAGTGTAACAGGTCCATATCACTCACCATTAGATCCTTTATTCATACAGTCAATACCCAGTCTGGGGTTCTTCTCCGTCACCTGCCTTGATTTGATCTCAGCTACAGTCTGTATGGGAGCCTGGCCGCTGTTCTCTGCCAGGGCTAGGGGGACAGAGTCTAGAGCATCTGCAAATGCTCTCATAGCATACTGTTCTAGAGTGGAGATCTGGAATTATATAGTATAACATTATAGTATAACATTATATACTAAAATCTTCAGTCTCATAACATACTGCTGTAGAGTTGAGATCTGGAATACTACATATAATACTAAAATCTTCAGTCTCATAGAAAAGTAGAATTAAGATCAGTTATCATATATATTTTGTTGTAGGAGTACAAAGAATATTTCTAAAGCTCCAGAGAGCCCAGTCATCACACACAACCAGCAGCTCCTAGCCTAACATCACATTTTTCCTTGTTGAAAATCACCCAGTAACACAATGATCAACTTATTGGACTGGAGTCTGACACCCAGACAAAAGCTAAAAGGTTTTTAATACAGAAGTGCATATACAGATCCAATCCTGATTTGGTACAATATCTCACCTTTTCTGCCTCTTGACTGACAGCTAGGGACATGGCAATCTCAGCGGCCCCGCCCCCATATACTATCCTGTGGTCTTTGACTAGGTTCCTGACTACACACAATGCATCGTGCAGACTACGCTTGGCTTCTTCAATGATCTGAAAGATGGATGAAAAAAGTCCACATCATAGCCTCAGTACGACCAGACTTATGAGAACAACACTTAGAGACATGAACAAATTGAACTGTTGATTATGTCCAGTACTTGTCATACCTATGGATATAATAATAATAATAATAATCTTTATTGGAAAATCCTAACCCGAAGGTTGAAATTATACAAATATGTAATTAGTTTATTTATTTAAATGAAATTTAATTTTTTTTTTTTTATTCAAGTCAGAGAAGCCTGGTCATTTTTGCACTGGTGCACTCTGTAGACGATCTCGCCTCCCTGGTTCATTCGAGACATCTTTCACCTGGATGTTAATCTTTGCATATATTCACTCAGAGGAAATGGCTTCATACTTAGCCTTCGAATTCTGTTTTGCCAACTATGCACTTACATACTTTTTGTCTCTCCATAACTAAAAATGTGAATCATCTCGAAGATAACAAATATACAACATGTACACCTACCATTCTATTTCCTGCTCTAATAAATATGGTAACAGCTCTAGAGTTGTGACATTCTTCTATAACTAACATCCTGTCTTTGGTTGTGCCGAAGGTGAGTTCCCGTACTATACCAGCCTTGCCCAGCTTGTCTGTCGTCAGCTCTTGGAAACGAGGAACTATTCTACCGCCTGTTGCTATAGCAATAAGCTAAAATACACACAATTTAATTAAGTTCACTATAAAATTCATGTCAGAAAAAATTAGATAACAAGTGATCTCTTTAACATTGCTGTAATCTTTCAAAATTATAACAACTCAAAGAATTATATCAATCAACACAATGACTTAATTTTTAATGGAGATACTCTATTGGGGTATGGCTAGGATTTTAGTCTACATAAAATCATCACGGTACTGCAGGCAGATAAACTCTTCCACTGTATAGATATCCCATAAGATAAGAGAGAAAAATATGCCATCGAAATTTCAAACCAGATTAGAACAAATTATCAAGTATTTTCCCCAACAACATCTATTAATGTAGTAATACATAGGGAGGAAACAAAGTGTCTCATAAATACCAACCTCTATCTCAGGTCCTCCTACCCACCGTACAGCAGGTAGTTGTCTCTGCAGTAATAAATGATTGGCCTCGTCATCAAATCCCCACTGACAGATGACAAGATTGGCCCCTGTGTCTTTAACCTGGATAAGAAATAGTAATTAGTGTTCGGCTCCAGTGTCTTTCAGCTGGATAACAAATAGCAATTAGTAATAGTAATAAATAGTAGTAATAGTAATAAGGGAGCCACAGAATTTTTCCATGGAATTGTGCTAACAGATCTTCACCTAAAATTCCTCATTTGTTATTTTTTTCCCTTTGGACAAAGAACAAGCCACTCACCTGTTTGACCATTTCATCAAACTTCTCTGTCTCATACACTCGCAGTTTTTTATAATCATCAACTGACGTCACGTCCAACTTGTGTTTGGTCTTTGGCTTTGGAGGCTCAAATGGACAGGTCAAAATGGCTATCTTGGCGTCTTTGATTCTCTTTGAATGGAAAACAAAATGCATAAAATTATTAAATTGAAGATATTCATTAAAATGTCAGAGCAAGAAAAAAATTCGACTTTTATCTCCAATTGACAGTGCAATAATCTCTCTTTCTTAAGTCTGAGCTTTCTTCTGTCCTTTGATTCAAAGCCTTGATTTACATGTTTTATATGAGAGAGAGAGAGAGAGAGAGAGAGAGGGAGGGAGGGAGAGAGAGAAGGGAGAGAGAGAGAGAGGGAGGGAGGGAGAGAGAAAAGGGAGAGAGAGAGAGAGAGAGAGGGAGGGAGAGAGAGAGAGAAGAGAGAGANACGAACGTTGATTAAATGTTGACAAGGGAGAGGAGAGAGAGAGAGAGAGAGAGGGAGGGAGAGAGAGAGAAAAGGGAGAGAGAGAGAGAGGGAGGGAGGGAGAGAGGGAGGGAAGGAGGGAAGGGGGTCTAAGGGTAAGGGAAGGGTGCTACCTTGGGCATCTGTGGGTGACTCATGTCCTTGTCAATGACCACCCCCTTGACCAGCATAGTGTCCTCCAGTTTGCCGCCCACTTTACCCTCCATCTTAATTAGTTCAAAGTCCACGTCCTTCCTCTCCAGGTCAGCCACCGAGAGCACCGCATCCACGGCAATCTCAGCAAACTGTCTGTGACAGCGGTTCACTCTGGAAGTATCATCTTATCATTATCATATGTACCTTTTTATAATTACCAATATGACAATTTGTAATTCTTCTGTATAGATCTACAATACTGACAACACTGCACCTATCTATAAGGCTCATTTTACAGCATGTTTTGTGTTTGGACTTGGACAATAAACTGAAATACAATGACCGTGACTTTCTCCCTTTTTTAACCAATCACAGAGCTTTTTGCAACCAACTATTCTGAACAGCAACAATCAAGATCTTAACTTCAATGTATCCTGTTTGGGTAACTACAGTTTAATTTTCAACACCAACCAGGTCCCATTCTTACATCTTGGACCCTAGTGTAGTCATAGCTGTCTCTATCAGCCTCTCTCTATGAGACTGGTCCAGTGGAAACTGATCACAGATTTTATCCAAGTGACCAATGGCGACCTGGGCAGCCATCTCGTAGCCGTCAGCTATTCTGATAGGATGGATTCCTCTGTCTAACAGCTGCTCCGCCTGCTCAAGAAGGGCACCTGCCATCACTGGAAGTAGAGGTATATAGCCAGTGTGACATATAGCAGGATCTTTTGAAATGTTTAACATAATTTCAGCCTTCATTCATACTAAAACAAGGTATTGTGAAGAATCCACGCTACTCTCTATTTACCATTAAACCTCGATTCCCATTCTATATAAATACTACTGATTTTCACTTCCTTAAACACTCATTTAATTCACACCACCAGTTTTGGAGCCAACTTATTTCAGTTTGCAAAGCATGGGTAAGTGACGACCTACCCACAACACCCGTGGTGCCGTCTCCGATCTCATCATCCTGGGACTTGGACAGCTGCACCATCAGTTTGGCGATCTGGTGGTCAACATCCATCATGCTGAGGATGGTTGCCCCATCATTAGAGATGGTCACTTCACCATCTGAACTGACCATCATCTTGTCCAGCCCCTTGGGTCCCAGGGAGGTCCGCAGTGTGCTGGCCACTGTCTTGGCTGCCATGATGTGAGACTGAGGTATAAGGAAAATATATTCATTGAGTTAACATTTATAACAATAATATTGTGAGATAATAATCATGTAATACTGATTACGAATGGGGAAATTGCATCCAAGATCTCATGCTCTCAGGAACTAGAAATGGACTGTAAAGAAAAGAAAGGCAGTGAGTGCACTGAAAGTGGAGATGTTGAAGGAATCACTTCAGTGGTGGAGGGGGGGGGGGGCGGAATCTGCCACTACGTGGGTATTTCATGAGAGGCCAGCATGGAGATTAATGCATCAGCACACCTATATATGTATGTACTGTATGTGCTACCCCGGCAAAGATGTCGGCAGCTCACAAATATTCTGATTAACTCTCACTTCCTCAAGTTTGATATTTGCCAAAGGCAGGCTGAGATTGCAAGTAACCCAGTGACACCGACACACTGACACTTACATTAACTGGGTAATTTTACAGATCTAGAAACATCACAATTGAAAAATTAACAAAAGATCGACATAGAATATAATTTGCAGGGAGTAAGACCTGCAAAAAAACACTTAACAAGCTGAAGACCCCCACCCTTCAGTTTACCACTGTGACTGTCATTATTATGGTACCTTGTGAGCTTCGATGCCATGAAGCCGTGATTTCTTGTCCTGATCTTTCAAAATCAGAAACGGTCTTCCGAATTCATCGAAGGCGAGAGACCCCATCGACATCTTGACTTTTTAAACGTCACTGCTTGAGCCTCGATGATAAATAAATATATACGATTGTACAAGATTTCCAAGTGGTATACAAAACTTTCACGCTGCAGTAGTCCAAGATGGCCGACAAGTCTCGCGGCGAGAACGAGAACGAGATAGCAACAGAGAGTGCATAGCAACCTGCAAGCTCCACGCTACAGAGCACAGGGTTCCTCACAAAAGCTGCAGCATTTTAACATCCCACCGTCTGTTTCTCCACCAAGAAAGCAACCATGGCATTCTTTGGTCTAACAGAGATGGGTTACCAGGATACTATAAGGGAAAAGGTGGTCAACCCCACGTTTAACCCGCAGTATGATCCTATGGACAAACTCCCTCCAATCGTGGACCGAGAAAAGCTTCCCCGACCCTCCATCATCCCAATTAACCAGGTGTCTGCATACGGCGCGGGACCCCAGGGATCGTACGTAGAATACACCAGGCAGAGGACGAAACATATCAGAAACCCTAAAGGTAATTTGTTTTCAATGAGGGCTAAGTGTAAAGCTAGCCTATATATATACCGTACCCAGTATACATGAATGTTATTGTTATTAGTTACAATGCATGGTGTCCTTTGACCTTCTGAAAATGACACAGTATTTCATGTTGTCCATAGACATGTTTCACAGAATGAATCTGGAAATATGTTCTTATTATTTGGATTATATCCGAATGAATGTACTATTTCATGTAGTTCATCTTAATTCACCTTACTAAAGGACAAATGCAAGGCAGAGATCAATGCATTATAACGAGTAACATTACATGCAGTGTTACCTAGATGTGNTATTACCGTAGTTGGCCAAGGGCATAGGTATACATGTATGTGTTTTGTGCCCTGAATTTTAGAGATCACTAGAAACCAATGCCCGTTATAATACCATGTCAGTAGTAATACAAAATGTCTGTTAGTATCCATGCAGTGCTATTCTCAGTCAAATATTGCAAATTTGGGATAATGGACGATATTGCTGTGTATAGGTAAAAACCCCAACAGTGTATTAATGTTACCTTATATTTCATATGACAGGTCCACTGGCTATATACAGAGATAAGACAATCACATCTCACGACTATGGCTGGTGGAATAAGGACGCTCCCCTGAAGCAGAAGGAGCCTTGGACGCATGTGAAGAGACACGTATTTGTAAACAGTGAAATGACAAGGTAGGGAATGTCTTGACTACCTGTGCAGGTATTATCTGTTATCTGGCCATAGTAGTTATCATTTAGCTGATAGCACAACTGTGGAAAAATGAATTCATATTCTTGCAAAGTGAATAGAAGTCAGTTTATTCAAGCATGCAAGTCATAAACAGGGTCATTTAAATGAAGGTTGAACCATAGTTCACATGGATTTGAGTATTGAAAAAAAAACAACACACATATATATATATATATATATATATATATATATATATATATATATATATATATATATATATATTTTTTTTTTTTTTTTTTTTTTTTTTGATCAGCATTGTCATTTTGCCTGATGACTAAAATGCTCATAAAACTCATACAAGAAGAAAAAATTCTACACAGAATTTGCATAAGGACATTTCTTATTTTCTCTTTCAGATTTGTAAATGAAATGAGCCTTACCAACAGGGAGTTTTCACTCTTTTAAAAGGATTTGCAAAGCCTCTTACAAAGACAATTTTATCTGATTTATGGAAGAAAATGTAAAGCAAGAAAACTCAAGATCAGTACATTTCGATGGATTACAAAGCATTTGGGATTGAAAATATATTTGTTTGTGATTTAATTGAAGAGTAAAATTGGAAACAAATTGGGAAGATGATGATAAAGAAAAGTCAGTGATATATTTGTATACTGTGATTTTATACAATCTTATGGCAGTGAAACTTTTATTTTTGGACTTTTATTCAGTGATCATTATTCGACAATCTGGAAACCAAAAACAAAAACCGCGCAATAGGTGTTAGAAAACCTATATAAACTATTTATTAAGACTATCATGAGCTGAAATTCCAGTACCAGTGGAATGATCTTGTCATGTTTTGTACAATCAGATAATTTATCACCTCACATTGTAACTTTTGATATTGTGGTCAACTGCCAAATATCGTTATTTTAGTCACGTTTCTAAGAAGCAATGTTTATTTCCTAAACTTAATGACACATTTTGAAAATGAATTGTTAACTTGTTTGAAGGTAGACATGTGTCTTATATTAGCGGGAGTTTCTTAACCCTAGCTGTACTGATACTCGCAACTATTTAGGTTATTGTCATACTCTTGTTGTCGACTCTTTCCCACCTTGACGTTTACGATTGCGCCATGGTTTTAAGCTGGATTTTTTGTGTAAAAAGATGTCAGATTCATGAATTGGTCATACCTGGACAGAGAACTGTGGTTGTCAACTTTGAACAGTTTGTGAGTTGTTTAAAACTGTCGCGGTGAACTTCCACTTTCAGCGTAAACTTCTACGCATTCTGATGGGTGCTATTACCAATACACTTTGTACGTACTTTACAGAGATTGCAGTGAGTTAGGCGTGTTTTCTACTTTCGGTGTGTAAATAATATTGTTATATGTAAATGTGGAGGGTTTCATGGATAGATAATTCAAATAACAAGCAATAAATGTAATATAAAAAGAATAATAAATGCAAGTCAGTCTTTCAAGAAAGTGTATTTTGTTGTTGCAGAATTTAACAAAACTGTCAGTAATGCGCATTATTATTTATTTATTTTTTTTTTTTTTTTTTTACTCGACTAATTATGTTGGCATGTGTTATTCACATTTTAATAACACGTTAATCAACAGATCTACACAGTTAGACAATAAAAACGAAATGTTTGTGTTCCATGCACGAGATCAAGCACACCTAACACACTCGGGACTCTCCGTGATTAGCCAGCACACCTAACACACTTGGAACATTCCCTGAATACGCTCTTTCCTGCTCTTTC